TATCCACAATATATTAATACATAACATAAGGTTTTTAAAATGCTAATGCAAATCATTGGATTTATTGTTTTAGATTTAAGTTTGAGAATGTTTCTGATTATATTATTTACTGTTTACTTAGTTGCTAAGGTTAATTTACTTTTTTGACAGTTTTTAGAAAACAAGGTATTTATTATTGAGTTTTAGTTTGAACAAAAAAAATTAAATATCACGAGAAAGAGAATTAAATTCTACGTAAATTTAATCAAAATAATAAACTTTCTAACTATTTTTTCTATAGAAACCACATTAACAGATAATAGTAACTAACCTTGAGTTATTTATACTAATGCGCATTTTTTTAACCTACAATATGGCTTCAGAACAAAACTGTTTACATCGAGACGCCAACCGAATAGCATCTATATTAACTTTATAAATTTGAATTAAATTTGAATTTGTTTATTCCTATAGTAAAATTTAACAAACAAAACAATCACTATAAAAAAAGTTTTAGGTGTAAACTCTGATGAAGTGGTGCGTCATCACTATGATGAGGAAGTTCAGAAGACAGAGTGCATCCTGGTTAGCTTTGAAACTGCATTAAATAAACTTTTAAAAATGGTTAAAATGATTGGTAAGATTGAGTATGACCAGTCTATCCTCATAGTTTTTGTACTTTATCTTGCTTATCGTTTTGGTTGCTTGCTGTTAAATGCATTTAAGTATTTATATGTCACTTCTTAGGTGAGGAGACCAGTCTTGGATGGCATACTTGAGATGGGGTCTAATGTATGTTGTGTAGAGTAACCTCCATAACATTAGTCCTTTAGTGCAAAATGATTTTTTTATTCTGCAAAGTATTTAGTCTAGCGGCTGCAGCTTTTACTTTATGCTTAATCTTGAGATTGTTTAATGTTAGGACACCTTAATCACATTCAAAAATTGTTGTTCCAAGTTCTATTCAATTGCCAATGTAAGCATTGAGTAAAAGCACACTGACTTATTTGAGTGACCAGCATGCATAACTTTTCATATTTTGTAATTGAAAAATATGAACAACTTCTTAGACCATTTGACTGCATGATCTATGATTAGTTGTAACTTTATTGCATCATCATCTGTTTTGATGACCCCTAAGATTTTATTGTCATCTGCATAGATCTTTATATGATGCACCATGTTGTCTGAGAAGTTGTTTGTATAAATCAGAAACAGAAGAGGACCCAACACTGCATCTTGTAGAACTCTTCTAGGGTAAAAATATATGAAATCATCCAGACCATGACACCCTTACATCTCAGAATTTGTTTATTTCTACACCACTTGCAGTCCATATCAAAAAAATAATAACTGCGAAAATTTTAGTTAAAAATACCAATGGGTTCCATAGATATTGTCACTTGAAATAATGCTGACTCAGTATTTTAGTGATTTTCTGAAGCAACTACAAAGCAACTTTGACATATAGTATCTTCATAATGGCTTGGGGAAATTTCCTAAAATTTGGTACTCTAATAGATTTTAATTTGAGGAATCCAAAAATAGCATTCTTAAGACTCGATTATCTCAAGAAATGCCTCATTTATCAAATTTTGTTCAAAATTATTGATTTGTAAATTAGTGATTTTTGGAGGTAAAATAAAGACTGTGGCCCAAAATCCTGAGTAAAAATTTTAATTGTATATCATTATTTCATCTTATGCTTAAAATAATTTTGTTTTTATTTTATTTACCTAATTTGCATTTTAAATGTCTTTTATTTTTTTCAAATCCTTGGATTGTAGGCTGAGAAGGAGGGGTGGGGGTTTAAATAAATCACAAATCACTCCCATCTTATTATGTCAATGACTATATTAGTCTAAAACTACATAAAGATATTTATTGTCAATATGTTTTAAAAACATTTTAAAACATTTGTTTTTGAAATTTATGACTTAAAATTGTAAAAAGATCTTTGAAATAAGAGGTCAGTATTTATCGATTTGAAGTAACGCAAACAAATCGTTTCTCAAACTTAAACTGAAAAAATATGTTTTTAAAATGTATTTTAACAATCAACTATTATTTATTCATTTTATGTAAAAAAAAAAAAAAATCTATGGAGATTTGGGGAGGGGGCGGAGGGCCTCCCGTGGGTAGGGAGGGCATCTCCCTTGGCCCATGACTTTAAATGTTTATTTAAATTTAAACTAGTCAATAAATAACACTATTTGGTGTTTTATTCAAATAAATGTTTAAAAAAATATTTTAATTGCTTTTGTTACAAAATTTAAATTTTTCTAAAAAGACACCATTTTTAAATGCAAATTTTGATCATGTATTAGAGAGACAATTGATGAATCTAATTTTTTTCAGTAGACCTAAGATGAAATAACGATATACAATTAAAATTTTTACTCAGGATTTTGGGCCACAGTCTTTATTTTACCTCCAAAAATCACTAACTTACAAGTCAATAATTTTGAACAAAATTGGATAAATGAGGCATTTCTTGAGATAATCGAGTCTTAAGAATGCTATTTTTGGATTCCTCAAGTTAAAATCTATTAGAGTACCAAATTTTAGGAAATTTCCCCAAGCCATTATGAAGATACTGTATGTCAAAGTTGCTTTGTAGTCGCTTCAGAAAATCACTAAAATGCTGAGTCAGCATTATTTCAACTGACGATATCTCTAGAACCCATTGGTATTTTCAACTAAAATTTTTGCAGTTATTATTTTTTTGATATAGACTGCAAGTGGTGTAAAAATAAACAAATTCTGAGACGTAAGGGTGTCGAAAATTATTTTTTTTGGATGATTTCGTATATTTTTACCCTCTAGTAACATCTACCCATTCAGACTTGCAATTGCTAATGACCACTCTGTGAAGAACCCGTTTTAATTTGAGCATTTCCTTTGGCTTTCATTTTTAAATATGGCAGTCATGTTAGATAGCTTCCATAGGTTAGGGGCTCTGTCTTCAGCCAATAATTTTTTGAAAATCATAGCTAGTGACCTGGCTATTGCAGTAGCACATCTTATGATAACATATACCCTAATGTTTCCTTTTTTTTCCACTGTTTTTTTAACTTCTAACATATTTCATCTTTATTTTTGTTGCATAAATGGTGTTCTTTTTGAAGGTATGTGTAAGGTGACCTTGTTGATTTTGTCAACATACACCTGATGATTATTGTTTACTGAATGGGAATTTAAAATTGTCACAAAATTGTAGGATGTGATTAGCATTGAGATTAATAATTTGCTCTGCTCTAGATAATTCTTTTCTGTTCTTCTTCAACAGAAGAAGAACAGAAAAGAATTGCTGTTTGTAGCAAGCAATCCTTCTTTGCGAATTCCAAAGAACATCAGTTCTTTGGAATTCGCTTCCATTATCTTGCTTTCCTAATTCATATGATTTGCAATCTTTTAAGTTGTCTGTCAATCGTTATCTTGCTCTACAATCTTCATCTTTTCTCTTCCAGTAACTTCCAACACTAAATAGTGGTTGCTTGCAACCTTGTTGGAAGCGAAGATGTTAAAAAAAAAAAAAAATCCAATAAGTGAACAGCGGGTTTTCCCTGTTGGGATTTAGCCAAAAGAGTTGTCTTCATGTAGATCATCTATGTGGTCAGATTCATTAGTGAATAATAAATCTAGTGTGTTTGATAATATTTCTTCTCTATTTCTGTGAGGAAAGCAACCATTTGCATAAAAAAGTTTTTGTTTAAACATTGCTAGAATTTCAAGCAAGTTGGATGTTTTTCTTGTACATGTCCAATCATTGCTGCGCCTCCATCAGTTCAAAGAACCAATATGGCTGAAGTTGAAATCGCTGCAAATTAGAGCAGATGAGCAGCCTAGTGTTGAAAAACTCCTCTGAACGGTTACTCCCTGTGGAAGTTGCTTTTTGCCAGAGCGTCTTGTGTATTTGTTGATTTGAACACTTCTATAATACTGATTAGATCTTGGTTCTCCTGGTTCAAGTTCTGCTGATTGCTTGGCGGATTGTTTTTTTTGTAACAACAAACTTCTATTCTTGGACTTTTTAAAACTTATGACTACTATATTTGACAATCTATTTTGCAATTTTTATTTCAGTTGCTGCAAGATTAATATAAATATTTGCTTTGCTATATCAAGATAAGAATGATTGGCTGCTGTTGTTGGTTTAATGGTTACTCCATTGATTTGGTCTCTAAGATCATTGGTCTCTTTTTCATGCTGCTATTGGATTTTTTATGCTGCTATTGGATTTTTTATGCTGCTGTTTGATTTGTCGTGCTGCTGTTTGATTTGAGTTATGACCACAATTAATATAGTTTTGGTCATTTACAACTTTCTTTTTGTAATTTTTGTTTAACACATCATTATTGATGGTTTGCTCCTATTTTCTCCAGCTCTCATCAATCATAACATCAATAAAAAATTTTTCGAAAAAAATTTCAAAATTTTTACACTTATATTTGTGGATTCTTGTAGATTTTTGCAGTTAATTTGCAATTGTATACACCAATTCAAATTCCTTTGTAGGAGGGCTATCACTCTACAGCAGTGGATTGCCTCTGGGTCATGAAATCTGCAATGTATTTATTTTATATAAACATTTACATATAACTCTTAAAACAAAAAAAATTTGCAAATAATTATGAGCTTGATTTGAAATCACAAAAATACAGGAAATGCAGAATAAATTCATCATTGGTATTTTCTCCTACCCTTATTGTAACTTATTATAAATATATTTTATTGAAAGTAAAATCATAACACTTTTTGTCTACAATAATTAGAAGAATAATTAAAAAATATAAAAAATAAATACTAAACACCAATAATTTTTTTCAGAGAAAAAAATCTAATTTTACTAAAAGATAAGAATAAATAGATACAAGTTTCACTGAGTTTAAAAAAAACTTTAAAAACTTACATTTCAAACTTCATAAATAAACTTTAAAAACTTACGTTTTACATTTCATACATAAATTTCATATTTACACATAGTACTATTAGCAAAAACAAAACTTAGTATAATTTACCTGTCTTATTTGTACATAACATTGTTGCTTTTAATGCAGAACGAAACAATATTTCTTTGTACATTTGAAAACAGAATATGTTTTTATCCAAAACAACTTTCAGGCTTGAATTTTGTGGAAATTGAATTTTATCATAAGCAATACTCTAATAGATAAACAAAATTTTTCTTTTAAAACATTTTTTATATTTACAATGTAAAATTTAAACTTAAAAATGAAATTAAAACCTTTCAAAAGTATTTAAAAATATTCTTTCATAAAATGACTTTTTTGAACATAAATACTTTTTAAAATAAACAAAAATAAATATTTACAACGCTAAAATCCACTTCAAACAAAAGCTTTGAAAACTTTCGCTCATACTGAACAACGATGTAATGCCATTGTAATAAATGGTTTATGTTAACATTTTGGTTTTGACCATCAACACTTATACTAAATGTATAAAGGTATTTTTAAATATTTAACTCAACAAAAACTAGAAAACTAATTTTTTTAAATTGCTTATGATGTAAAAAAAGAAAAAAAAAAAAAAACATTTTAATTTGTTTACCTAATTGAAGAGGTTTGGGGATAAACATTTATTTCTTTACCGTATTTGAAATTTAAAATTTGGTTTGGTGAATTTTTAACTTGGTACCAAAATGTAAATGTAAAATCTTTATTTAAATTTACATCTAAAAAGTTAAGTGTTTTCATTGAAACTTCTTCAATGTTTCCGTATATAGTTTGCAAAAAGATGCTATTACCACCTGATGTGACTATAGGGTTAGGAAAACTTGCAAATACTTCAGAAGACCCTCTAACATAGATTGCAGGATAAAGAAAGAACGAATTATTCAAATATGTTGAGCCACTCTCAATATCTACAATTAAATAAAATTTTGTTAATCAAATCTGATCAAATACAAAATATCGTAAAATAAGCAAAAGCAAAAAAAAGTTAGTTCGCAGAAAGATGGTGTTTTCACCTGATGTTACTATAGAGTCAGAAAAACTTGAAAACAGAACAGTAGATCTTGAAACAAAGATTGTTCATTTATGGTAATTATCTTATGATATACAATAATTTATTATATATGTATGTTTTTTTTTATGTCTGAATCTCTGGCATGGTAATCACTCACCGGTAAATTACTATATGTATGTTTGACTGCCTGGTGCATTGTGAGATAAGTTTCTAATTTGTGACTATAAATATAAAACTAAAGCTCTCCTTAATTTCAAGAAATTTGTTAAAAGTAATGTTTTTCCTAACACTTTTCCAAAATATCTTGTTTAATGTTTAAAAGTATTGCTTACAAAAAGTAACTTCTTTTAACAACTTCAGATCAGATTCAGGATCACCAAAATCACCCTGCTACTGATATACTTATAAAAGCCAGTACTACCAACCTATATCCTGCTGCCCTTTTTGCTTTTTCAGGCAGCATATAAAGGATTTTCATCTAGGAGAAATAAAATTAAACTCAAAATTTCCTTGTCTTCTTGATTTTCTTTGAATTCCCCTAAAAAAAGAAGGGGTTAGAAAAATTCTGTTAACCAGCTTTGCACCCATTCTTCATGGGTGCAAAGCTGGTTAACAATGTTAATAAATGGCTGGTAATAATGTTTCCCAAAATCTGTGGTAGCTCTCAGAGAGGCTGATTCCATCAACAGCTGTAAAATATATTATTTAAAATAAATAGTATTACCAGTGCCATGTTGGGCATGGATGGTATCCCTGTTAGTGCTTTTGGTGTGAATTGTTAAGGCCACACAAAATTAGCATGAATAAGACAATTGCGTAGCTTATTGCTTGGAATGTAGTGTTCTATCTATAAACAAGTCAAGTTCTCTTTAAATTTTAATCATGTCAAAAGTAACCCAAAATATTAAACATAAAAATTAAATCCCACCACCTAAAAATCCAATAAATCTTTCACAAATTTTTGTGGTCTGCAAAGCAATCTTCCATAATTTGAATCTTAACTCTTGCAAAATTTACCAGACTTGCTTACTTTTTGTAATACAAATTTAAATTCCACAGTTTCTTTTTCAGATTTTAGTGTTGATGGGTACTACCCTTTGATTCGTGAAGGTTCCAATAGTCACATGCTTGAATTGGGGGTATACTAACGCATCAATGATGAAACCTATTTGTTATGAAATGAGATTTGAATTCTTTGACCATTCTTTTATGTGCTTCCACTTAGCACGTCTTTACTCTAAAACCTATCTATTTGTTTTTAGTGTTCTCCTTCTTTTTAAGACTGCACTCTTTAAGATGCAATTTCTGATTAAATTTACTATGGCCTTTCCTTTTACCCCTCTGCCAACATTGTTTTTATTGGTGATTTTAATGTTTATCAAACTGAATGCTTGGCTCTAACACCACTGATATTGCTTGCACTAAAGGTTATAACTTCTGTTCTTAATCTCTATAACTTCTGTTCTCAATCTCTTTTTCATATTAACTTTGTGACTCATTTTCCAGACAATCCTAATCACTTATCTTCACACCTTTATTTGTGTCTTGTCTCTGACCCTAGCTTGTGTTTAGTATCTCCTTGTTCTCTTTTAGGTAATTCCGAACAAGCAATAATCTCTAAAAAGCTTTCAACTTATACTTCTACTTTAGACTTACCTATCGTCGCATATTTCCTGCTTACAAGAAAATGCTGACTAAGATTCTTTGCATGATTTTTTTTTCTTCACAGTCTTTGAGCTGATGTCTTTTCTCTGTCTGCTTATAGGTTTGTCTCCTAAATGACCTCTTGGATCATAAGAGATATGGAAGCTTTTATTTCTTTTCATTGATTCTAAGTCAAACATCATTCAACTTCATGGTTTTCAACTTCTTGAGCAGCTGCCTCAACTAATTACAATCACTTTTTTTCATTTTTTTTTTCAAAAGAACAAACTCACTTAAGAACAAACGCTTTTTTATTATTTTGAGAAGCCAATATAAAAAGGTGCTATCTAATGCTAAGCTCCATTATTTTCAGTTTACTAAATCTCATTTCTTATCTCAGAAGTTAGGCTCTAGAAACTTTTAATCAATTTTAACCCAAAACAGATTCACCAGATTGTTAGCCATCCAAATCACTTCAGCTTCTGTTGCTAAAGTCACATCTCAACAAAACTCTTCTGCAGCTTGTGATCCAGACAACATTTCTGTTTTGCAAAAGTGTTCTTCAAAACTCTCTTCTTTTTCTCTAAACTATTTAATAAGAGCTTGCCTGAATCTTGTTTTCCTGCCTACAGGAAAATGGCATTTATGGTTTTAATTTTTAAAAATTCTAGAGAACATTATAATCCCTACAACTATCATCCCATTAGTCTTCTCTACTATTAGCAAGGTCTTTAAGTCTTTGATCAACAAATTTCTAGCATCCCATCTTGAGTCTAATAAGTCTCTGACAATCAATATGATTTTTTAAACATTTCTACTGCAAATTTGCTAACTGCTGTGACTGAAAGATTCACAGCAGATAACAAATTGCTAACTGCTGTGAATCAAATCGCTAACTACTTGTTTGTAATTGTGCATTAGACAGAGACACAAAAGATTTTTTCATTTTCACAATATTCAATTCAATTCAATATATTCTGAAATAAGTTGTAAAATTTCAAGGACTTTTACAAATAGTACAAGTACTAATCTAAAGTAAAAACCTGCAACATTACAATAAAAGTGATCATAATAACAATAATAATAGTATTGATAATAATTATAGAAATAATATTAACAATAGCAATAAGATGATGATGAAGAGGAATATTATTAGTAACAATACAATAATAATAAAAATATTATACAATCAATATTAGATAATAGCAATAATAGTGATAATAACAATTACATAGTATAAGTAGTAAATAAACTTAAGAAAAAATTAAAAAAAGCAATAATAATACTTATTATGTTATAAATAAAAATAACAATTTACTAATAAAGATAGAAGAATATTATTAATATCAATACTAACAATAACAATAAAAATATGAGAATAAAAAGTTTATAATAAAACTAGTAGGTATCAAGAGAGTAGTAATAATAAAAGCATAACAACATAATTCAGAGGCTTCAGGTATAATATCTTGCTAAAAAATAGTTAAAAAGACAGTTTTTGAAATTAGTAATTGAGTCAATTGATTTTAATGGTGAAGGTAGACTGTTCCATGATTTTACACTTTGGTATTTTATGGATTTTAGACCATATTTTACAGAAGAATGATTTGGTACATGAAGATTATAGCTATTAGCAGATCGTAGATGATAGCGACAGCTTACTCTAACAGTAAAAAAATTTGTAAATGTGCTGGGTAGACATTTTTGTTTATAATTAAAGACAAAATGACAACTTAATAGTTGAACTAGATCATCAATTTTAAGTATTTTGGATAAAAAATAAAGATGATCGTAGTTAGATTGATAATGCTGAAAGTATATTATTTTTAATGCTTTGTTTTGTAAGTTGGATAATCTTCTGTTTTGTAAGTTGGATAATCTAATAATTAAAATTTCTTGGGTGTGGATTTGTCCCCAAACTTGACACGCATACCTAAGATGTGATCCAAAAATGGCATGGTATATATTGATAAGAGTTTCAAGATTGACATAATGACGAATTTTAGTTAACATCCCATTCAATCTACAGAGTTTTATTGACAAGTCCTTAGGATGTTTAGAAAAAGTTAAATTTGAGTCAATTTTGATTCCAAAATATTTTAGGTACATAACTGGATTGATTTTTTGACCACTCAGCCTAAAATTTAGGTGTTTACTGATTTTAGATTGTTTTGATTTAAAGATGATAATTTCAGTTGAATTAGATTAGATAGATCATGATTAATATATATATATATATATATATTTTTTTTAATGATTTGTTAATTAAAAGTAAGTTAGTGTCGTCATCAAAATGGTAGGAAGTTGTATATTTTAATGATAAATTAAGGTCGTTAATGAAAATAAGGAAAAGCAATGGTCCTAATACAGAGCCTTGAGGTACATCTGTAGTGCATTTTACTAAAGAAGATGTGTTACCCTTAATAGATACAAACTAAAACCTATTATAAAGATATGAGGTAAACAATTGGAGAGAAATTCCTCTAATACCATAGTATTCCAGTTTACTTAGAAGAATAGAATGATCAACAGTGTCAAATGCTTTCTGTAGATCAACAAACACACCACAAACAAAAAGCTTATTGTCAAGAGCTTTTCTGATAACCTCTGTGATTTCAATAAGTGCATGAGTTGTGGAATGCTTGCTTCGAAACCCATATTAGTGTTTGTAAAGACATTGATATTTATCTCAAAAGTTGTAAAGTCTGTTGTGCATAGCTTTTTCAAATATTTTACTGATGATTGACAGTAGCGAAATTGGGCGATAGTTAGTGTGGTCAGTTCTAGAGCCTTTTTTATAAAGTGGAATAACTTTAGCTATTTTAAAGACATCTGGAAAAAGTCCATTTTCAAAAGAGCTATTTATCATTGTACAGAGAGGCTTTGAGATGATATGGGAAACAAGTTTGAGAAGAAACGTGGGAATACTATTGATACCTAAACTTTTTTTACTTTGTAAACTTTTGATAAGATTTGATACTTCATTTTCAGTGACTGAATCTATAAAAAAGGAGTTAATATTTGGGTTATTTAAATAGTCTGAAAAATTACATTTAGGTGAAACAATTTTTGTTAACAGTGTTTGTTGAGTATTTACAAAGTAATTATTAAATATGTTTGATACAGCTTTGCTGTCTGAAATTGTATTGCCATTAAATTTGAGATTAATAGATTTACTGGAAAAAGGAAGAAGGTTTGATATTAATAATTTCTTTTATACCTTTCCAAGTATTTTTTAAATTGTAAAGATTA